TGTTCAATGGTGACCTGTGACTTTCACATCAACTTTTCAGTCAACATTAGAGTCTACTAGGCTTTGATTCAAGCAACAAGATGAACCCAGCCAGAGTCCCCATATGTCTCAAGTCCATCTAAGCTTGTCCCATCACTGTGGGGAGGGAGAGAAAAGATTCAACAACTCAGATCCAGTAGAGGATCAGGGCGTCACATGGCAGGTTTAGAGACAGCCAGAAGGGGACAGTCAAGGAGGGAAGGGACTCGGCACAGTTCAAGGTAGTCCAGGGACCCACATCTGAGCATGAGGCGAAAGGTGGTCCTCAGGAAAGCAGCCTCAAAGAATTTGAGCTCAAGAAGAGCTGACCCACACATTTTCCCACCCCTCCACAGCCCTCCACAGCCCTCCACAGCTCACCGATTCATGTACACGTGAGACCACTTACACCCGAAGTAGCGGCTCACGGGCTGTTTCTTGTTCTTGTCCTCGTACTTGTACCTGCCGGTCAGCAGGCCTCCTACAAGAAGATTGTGGTCAGATCCTGGCCCAGGCTATGCCCAGAAGTTAGGGGCTCTGGACAGGAGGAGGGGGAACAACGCAGGAGGGATGCGGGACATCGGCCAGCCTCTTGCCAACGGTGTCCGTGTGCCCAGAGCCGGGAGTGGGCATCAACGGGGGCAAGAATAGGCACACAGGGCAGGAACGCTGACCCACCCAAAGGGGCCTGTTCCCATGGCACCCATACCAGCCAAAGGGTTGAAGGCATAGAATCTCAATCCAAAGTGCCTGAGGCAGGGCAAGAGCTCTGTTTCCACCTGTCTGGTGATGGGGTTGTACATTCCCTGAGAGGAGAGAGAGGGTCCGCTTACAAGGAAGGCATGCATTAAGGGAACGTACCCCAAAATTCAAAAGCCCCAGCTCAGATCTATAGCACAGAACTCTGACAATTAGGGCTTTGTTATGGCTTAAAACGTCATGTGGTCCTATGAGGCTTTTCAGAGATGACTAGCTCTAGAATGTGTGATGCTGGGATTAAACGCGTGGTGTTGAGATCAAGGATATGTGATTACTAACGGAGGTCCACTGACTGGTTTCCCCTAGCTCTGGGTGTGGGTGAGGGCTTGAAGATGCCCCTGGGTGTGGGTGTGAGTGCTACCACCCCACAGGCTTGTAGCAAGGAGGGAAGATAGAGATGCAAAGACGCCTGCAGTTGTTGCTCTGTGCTGTGCTGCTTTCTTGAGGTGCTACCTTCCGCTTGGTTGCCTGCTGCCTTCTGGGCGCCGTGAACTGTACGTCCTCTTCCATGCCACCCTATCTTGGTGGCAGCCGACTGTGAGCTGAAGCTCCTACAAACTGTGAGCCACAATAAACCTTTCTTTCTTTCACTTTGGGCATCAGATATTTTGTCTCGGCAAATAGAGAAGCATAACTAAGACAGATGTCATTTAGGGTTGGGACGGGAAGGGCGCTGTTTCTAAGGAAAGATTCAGG